AGACAGGTCAACAGTGATTTTAGACTAAATCAGAGATTAAACTGTTTAAGAGCAAAACTTAGGGAACGTAAAGACTGCCTTTGATGTTTACTAACTATAGTGAACATGACGCCACGATAGTACAATTTATATAATGAGGCCTGTAGTAGGCATAGGCCTCAAGTATATAATACAATTATATACATGCCTTCATTTGACTCCACATTTAGTTTAGTTAAATGATTTGAATGATAAGATCCTTTGTGTGTACAAAATATACTTTTATTGGTCTTGTGAAAGCAAAAGTACAGTACAAGAAATTACGTCGTTGTTGGCAAACCATATGAAAATCAATACATAATACAGTACAAATAGTAAAAACGGTAAAGTATATTCGAAAAAAAAAAACATTAAGTAAAGAAAAAAAGTGATAAATTAAGTGATGTTTACCAGTACTGGGTTCATTTTTCAGATATATCGCCAAAAGATCCATGCTTGTATATTCCATGTATTGAAGTACGGAACGCCTTACTGATATTACACACCATGGCACACACTACGAATATTGAGACTTTTCAGGTGATGGAGGAACTCGCCAACGCAACCATTGCTTTGAATAATAATAGCAGATTATTTATAATATCGTATACAAGGATAGAGCAACAGATTGAGTACAATATATCCAAACTGTTGGAAAATCATCCGATTTACCATCTTACAGGAAGTGAGAATGAAGGTATTTCACCATTGTTTTGCAGTGACCATGACATAATGTTGACTAATCAAAGATATCCTGCTGTAGAATTCAAGCCTCCGGATGAAAAGGAAAAGTTTAAGTGGGGGTATGTAGTGGCAGAGCCATGTTATGGTGAACCATCGTACCTGAAACTTAAAGCCGTAGATACAGAGTCTTTGCATCCTAAATTCAGAACTGCAATTGACAAAGATGGGTATCTTAATGGCGTTATTTTCTTAAAGCTTGATTTGCAAGATTGCAACTTTAATTACCAGATTTGTGGCCCTGCAGTTACCTTAAATGCTACAAATTCATTAACAAGCCATAATACTATGGATATAGTCCCTTGTTTAAAATCCAACTCATGGCCTCCTGTGTCTGAAGGTTTTTTTAGTAGAAAGCGACTAAACAATTGGCCAACAACAATTCTAGAAAAGATAAAAAATGATGGTTGCTTAGTTGTTGCTGTTGGACAGCGGCACAATGCCTGTAACGATATTCAATGGAGATGGTCATTTTCCTTAGCAGAGAAAGAGCTCCTTCAAGAAATGAATGGTTCGTTACCAGAATGTCTGTTGACGTTGAAGGCACTCAAGATAAAGTACATCACCATCACCTATGAAGAGTCTGACGAACCAACCCCATTCTGTTCCTACTTTATCAAAACTGCTTGCTTGTGGGTATATGAAACTTTTCCACATGAAGGTTACAGCGTCATGGATTTGGTTAGAAAGCTGCTTAACTGGTTGATCGATTGCTACCAGCACGGGAATCTGCCACATTATTTTATTCCCAGCCAAAACTTGATTGGGCATTTATCAGAGGAAGTACGTTATGAAGTGCAAGAAAAGTTAAAAACAGTTAACAGTCAAAATCTATGGAAGATGGTGATGTCATGTGTCAGTAAATTATATTTCGAAGGCGAAATAATAAACTCGATGTGTGATAAGCTGGAGATTGCTAAAGTCAGTGAGGGCGATGACTATGAACTGCTGGAAACTAATCTTTTGCATCATCCTATGGCTAAGAAAGAGCTTGAAAATGTAATTCGTCATATATCACCCCATGGCTTCATGTATGATAAATCCCAATATATGAGAATTGTGGATTTGCTTTCAAATGAGTGCGGCAAATTAATCATTGCACTTGAGCACTTTCTTGAAGATGATACATTTTCAGGATCTCAAATGTCCCGGGAGATTTTAGCTGTTCCTGAGATAGTCATATTGCCGATTATAGACACCATAAATGATTTAGTGCCGGATGGATATGGACAAATGTTTCAACAGTACCTGTATAGACACTTAGGTGATGTTTATACATATCTATTTATTTATTTACAAACCAGAGGTTTGGCAGTGAGTTCGAGTGATATGTATATTTGCCGGCGTAAACCGACCCATTATTATAAATTAGGGGCTGAAATAGTATATCCTGACAAATGGACCGATCATTGTGTTGGTGGACTAGTTCTTCTGGCAAAATACTTTTATTTAATAGGCGATTATAAAAGTCTGGAAAAACTATTATCCGTCATTGCATTCGCAATAAAATCTTCTAAGAAAATTGAACAATATATGGACAGGTATATAAATTTAAAAATAAAAAAGACTGTAGACTTGCCCATGAGTTCTTGGGCCGCTGATAAAAAGCTGCACACTCTTGCAACTGTATGCAATACCTCGTTCTATTTGCATCCAGTCGTCTTCGTCTTTTATATGCAGGCTAGGGTCGCTTTAAAAGAAGGTGATATGGAGAAGGCCTCTGTGCATTTGAAGGATATGAAAAAATATGCCACATTGATTTCGAGAATAGATATAAAGAAGAATGCCATGTCTTTAATCAAGATTATAGAAAACGAGATAAACCCCCCAAACACAACAGGTATCTATAAATTGCGACTAATATAATCCACTTCTCACCGCCAATCTCTCTTCTATTTCACAACAGTTAAATGTTACATTATAATATAATTTAAAGATTGGAATGTGTTTATTAATGAATTCAATACTGAGTTTAACCATGTGTTTATTAATAGTAAGGAATCGAAGTCAGAAGTTTGGAGATCTCATTAAGTATTAGGTTCACTTCTAGACACTACAAATGATATAAAGTATAGAATTATTTTAGCAAATGTAGCATTTAATAATTTTAATAACATGTGGCTAGTGAAAAATATTTATATGGATCTGAAGCTTAAATTGTATGATGTATTAGTGGTGTCTATGTTGTTATATAATTGTAATAGTTGGTCGGCTCCTTAAGGTATCATGAGAAAAATCGATACTTGTCATAATTCCCACCTAAGAATAAATATAAAATATCCCAGACGGATTAGTAATAACAAACTGTACGAGGTAACAAGTGTTAGACCTTTATCTGAAATAATGTAAAAGTTGAGGTGGTTTATGCTTGGTAATATATTAAGAATGAGCGAGGATACTCCTGTATATTGTGCTTTAGTATTTCCTGTTGTACATTCTAATCAATTAAAGGGTCGCACAGGAAAGCACCAAAATAATCTGTTAAGAACACATATGGAGATTTAACGTCTAGAAATGTACACATGTGTAACTCTAACGATTTAGATTATTTGCTTGAGATTGCTAGTAACAGAAATTTGTGGAAAATGTTTTTTTTTTCCGTTAATGTTTTAAAGAAATCTATTATTATTTGTATACGCGTAAGATAGACTTTATCAGAGTTTGTAAACTCAATGATTATTGAGATTTTACGAATTTTTGGAATAAAGTGATATATATATATATATGTTCTGGAGATTAGACGTAAATAACTTTCTCGAAGACAGATGCGTAATTTAAGTAAACTCTATTTATTTTTGTTCTTTCTTTCGCCGGGGTTTTAACAACAACCCTGAATCTCGCTCAACACTACGCCCTCTCTCTTGACGTGACCTTCACAAAATCAAAACAAATGCTGCCCTCTATAATCTAAAAATTCTAACTAGCTATCTCAAAAACATCCTTCCCTTCCTTGACAAACTAATGTCAAAAAAACTAACTAACTTTAACATAAATTAGTCCTTTCTGTGTTTAACAAAATTTAAACATATGCAATACCAAATCAAACGTTAAAACTAAGTGTTCTTGTTCGAGATTATTAAATCATTCTCAGAACTATAATAAAATACTGTACTAACAGTTAAAGATGATATTACTAAACCTGGTGTAAAAATATCAACTATCTAATTACTACTAGTGTACTTCTACATCCATCATGCTGTGTGATTTAACTTCAAAATGACTACTGTACCACATTTATTTCTTATTTGGTTTTAGTTATTGCATGCTTTACTGTATATTTATATTTTCTATGTTTGAATATGTATTAAAAGTTATATTATCTTCATTATTTCACACAGTTAACATATAATCATGTAGTCAAGCATAGTTTATATTAAGAGTTCAAATGTCAGCAATTGTCAAAAAGACCAGCAAAGTAAACTTTATTCGTTGATACACTCTAATGGACATAACTTCACTACCGGCCGAGTTACAGTTCCATTCTGAGTCTTTACTCCAGCTACCCGCACATGCCCGTCGTCCCCAGGAAAGACTTCTCTATTTTACCAAGTGGCCACTTGCCTCTCGCGGTGTCTGGATTATAGACCAACACTATGTCTCCCACCTTAATGTTCTTATGAGAAATGTTCCACTTTTATCTAGTGGTCAATGCAGGAAGATATTCTTTAATCCATCGGTGCCAGAAGTGCCGTACTAGTTCTTGTACTCGTCTCCAACGTTTTTTTGAGATTAAAGTTTGTTTTATCAATGCTTTTAGGAGCAAAAATTCCTCCTACCTGGCCATGAATAAAATGATTTGGCGTCAAAGGGATTATGTCATTAGGATTTGCTGACTGGTATGTTAACGGCCGTGAATTAACAAGTCCTTCTACTCCTGTTACTGCGCTGATTAACTCCTCATCTGTTATATAGGCATCCCCCAAAAATTACCTTTATCGCTCGCTTAGTTGTCTTTATCATCACTTTATGTACTCCACTAAAGTGGGGCGCACCTGGAGGATTCAATCCCCACTTAACTCCATGGGCGGCAGTTTGGTCTTTGATTCTATTTTCATCCAGGTCTCTCAACTCATTTAGCTCGTTATTTGCACCCACAAAATTGGTCCCATTGTCAGATAACACGTTTTCTGGCATACCTCTTCTTGATGCCATTCGAAAAAAATGCATTAAGAAAGGACTCTGTATGTAGGCTCCAAGTCATTTCTAAATGTACTGCTCGTACTTCCAGGCAGGTAAATAAACAGAGATATCTCTTTACTCTGGCTCGTCCTCTTCCCTGCACGGTAATGATGGGTCCACCAAAGTCCACTGAAATATGTGTAAAAGCACGCAGTGACCCTCCCAGTCGATACTTTGGAAGTGGTGCCATCTTTGGTTGTACTGGTTTGGCATTTCTTCTTTTACATTCATTGCATTCCCGTTCCCAACCTCTGATTGCTTCTCGTTCTGACAAAATCCAATATTTTCCTGAGAGTTGGGAGAGAACATAATTTGTTCCAGAGTGTAATGCCAGCTGATGTGCATTCTTGATTATTAGTTTGGTGATATGTTGTGTCTTTGGTAAAATGATCGGGTACCTTGTCTCACAGGCAATACACTCATATTTTAGTCTCCCATCACAGCGTAGAATGCCATCTGTATCGAGGATTGGGTTCAGTGGTTGTAACTTTGATCCCATAGGAATTGGTTTATCACTTTTTAGTGCTTCTATTTCTTCTCCAAAACATAGATTTTGTGCTGACATAATTAGTCTGTGTTGTGCTTTTACAATTTCCTCTGAAGTTAGTGGGCCAATTTCACGATAACCGGCTGGCAATTTGCAGTTCTGTAGATAACGAACGAATAACTGTTGCATATACTCTGCTCAGTCTAATCCAACTAGAGAAACTTGCGGGGTCAAGTCGACTTTCTCTTTCTTGTTTTGGTTCAACGAAGAATGCAAGTTCCTCATTTTTGTCTTTGTATGAACGTTTCATTTCAGAATTTTCTTTAATCTTCAATGTGATCTTGTTTGATGGTCATTCTGTTTTTTTCTAGAAACAAGAATTTAGGTCCCTTCCACCACTTTTCTTCTCTGATCAGGTCTGGGCATAGGCGTAGATCCCGGGGGGATGGGGGATATATCCACCCAATATTTGACAAGGGGGGATGGTCAATTGTATCATCCCCCCAATATTTTGACTATGTATGGGATAAAATGGAGCTTTACACACTTCAAAAGACTGTCACAGAAATAATTTGCACTGTCTTATGCGCTTACAAAGATGAAAATTAGCATAATGTATTAATGTTGATAACAACATTATTTTATCTGGTACCAATCTAAGCTCTTCTTTCCTTATATGTTAGATGTGCTTGCAAAGAGAGCCACGTTTCACATTGAAGGGTGTGTACGACATCAGTAATGTTATATCAATTCCAAGAATGTTTAAGGTTATATCGGTTGATGAGGAATTTATTGATTAGGCTTATAACAGCAAATTGCATCAATTTATTTTGCAAAAACAAGGTTTCTAGCTTCAGAGGGGGAACATCTCCTGTCCGTACAAGGGCACACATTGGCGCTAACACCAGGCGCGTAACAGGGGTCTTGGGTCAGAGTGGGTATATTTTTTTTTAATTTTTTATTTCAACCATCCTTAAAGAGGGTAACCCTTCTAGTTTAGCCCAGTAGGTTAACTGACATTCAGGGGTCCTCTTTAATAAAATTAAAGAACAGTACAAACAACATCATCACAACATAATAATAATAATAATAATAATAATAATAATAATAATAATAATAATAATAAGAATAAGAATAAGAATAAGAATAAGAATAAGAATAAGAATAAGAATAAGAATAAGAATAAGAATAAGAATAATAATAATAATAATACATACATACAATCCTCATTTCCCGGTTAGTAATTTACCATACCCACTCCCCATATAGAAAACAATACGACATAGGGCTTTAATATCTTATTTATAATATAGGCTACACACGTGTGTTTGAAACTAAATATAAGCATTTTCATCATGGTTGTATTTATTACAAACACTTTCTTTCACCATCTACACACATTGAGGCCCTTCTTTTAGGTTAAAATATTTTTGTGTTTTTAATTTTAATTTCGTCTGAATTGATGAAAACTATCTAAAATGTGCAATTTATAGAGGAAATTGGCCTACCGTAACAAGAAATGCGCGCCAAGAATTTGAGAATTTTAGGCACTTTCTGAGGATGCATTTGTCAAGGAGTGGAGATAGATTTCCAAAGATGGATATTTTCCCCTTGTCCCCCAGTGTTTTTAATTCTAATTTAGTTGGAATTGATCAAAACTCCCTAAAATGTGCAATTTGTAGAGGAAATTGGGCCATGTTAACAAGAAATGCGCGCAAAATTTGAGGTTTTTAGGCAATTTTAGGGGATGAAATGGCATTTATAGAGGGGTGGGGAAGATTTTTCAAAGATAGATATTTTCTCCTTGTCCCCCAGTGGTTACGCCATCGGGCAGAATAGATCAAAGGAGTTATGACAGTTTTTGAAGTGGAGAAGGGGTTGCATGGGTGTTGTGAGTCTGGTCATTATGATATCTTCCTTTTTATTCTTGTCTATATTTTTCTCTTCTCTTTTTCTTTCCTTTTCCTTTCCTCTTCTTTCTCTTTCCCTCCCTCCCCCTCTTTCTTTTTTCTTATTACCTAGCCCGGTACGACAGCTTGGTTGGCCCGGTAAAAACCGTCAGGGGAGGGGCAATTTCCCCTCCCCCCGCGCCTGTTACGACACTGGCTAACACGCCAATCATCAATGAAAAATATTTTTCTACGCCACTGGGTCTGGGACATTTAGACCTTTTGTTAGTAATTTTGCTGGATTCTCTTTAGTTTGTATGTGTCTCCACTGGGCCGGTTCAGTCCCTTCCTGAATTGCTCCAACTCGGTTTGCCACAAAGGATTTAAATTTTCTACTCATACCCCTTATCCAGTACAAGGTGTCCATACTGTCAGACCACATAGTCTATAGTTGTCTGTCAATTTGTTGGGCCTCTCCTATCTTCTGTGCCAACCTGAGTCCCAATACGGCAGCCATTAGCTGCAACCTCGGAATACTGACAGCTTTTAATGGGGCTACTCGAGATTTTGACGCCACAAGTGCACATGAGATAGTCCCATCTAGATAAGTATACTGTACATATGCACAAGATCCGTATTCCTTTTCCGATGTATCACAAAATACATGTAGCTATAAATGACTGGTTGGTCGGTCATTTTTTAGGCAACGTGGAATTCGTAGAGCTGTCAGATACTGGAGACCCTTAAACCACTGTTCTACCTTGCATGCAAGGCTTAACTCTAGTGGTTCGTCCCATTCGTGTCCTTGTATCCATATTTCCTGAAGTAAAATCTATGCAATAATTAGGTTCGGTGCCAAAAGCCCAAGAGGATCAAACAATGTAGCGATCCATTTTAAAAAGGATCTTTTTGTCCAGGTGGTCATTTCCGCTACTGTAGGATTTATCTTGAAAGTAAAATAATCGTCTTTAGGAGTCCATCGATTGCCAAGAGTTTTTACTTGCGGCAGATCTCTTTTGTCTAGATCTACCTCAGCTGGGCAGTCTTCCTGTGAAATTTTCTTTAGAATTTCTGTCTTGTTTGACAGCCACTTTCTTGTATGCATACCAGCCCGCTTCAAGAGCTGTGACAACTCCTCATATAGTTGTATCCCTGCATCAATATATGTTGTGGAATCCATACTATCATCCATATATGTGTTGAAAAGCATTGTTTTTAATGCATGAGGAAATTCTTCGCTGAATCGTCTGGCATGCTTCTGGGCTACATACTGAGCCATAAGTGGTGATGGGTTTATACAGAACACCACACGTTGAAATTCATATGTATCTGGTGTGCGTGTTATATCATTCTCTCGCCAAAGAATTCGATGGTATGGACGGTCTTCTATCTGTAGCTGAATTTGAAGGTTCATTTCTGAAATATCACACATGATGGCTATTGGATTTTGACGAAATCTCAAGTGTACGCTTGATCATTCTGAAGTTTTGGTCCAGCCCAGATATAGTCATTCAAGCATTTGCCGTGTGTTCGTGCTGCTGCATCAAACACAATTCTAATCTTCGTGGTTTGTTTTTCTGGGTGCAGAATGGGAAAATGAGGCAGATACCATGTATTTAGAGGGGTATCCTCTTCTGGTGACACTTTGCAGATATATCCTTTTTCCTGATATTTCTGGATTATTTCATCAAATGCTTTTGCAAGGTGTGGCGATCTCAGCAGCCTCTTTTCCGTATTTTGTAGTCTTTGTTCCGCTAAGTGATAGCTGTTCGGCATTTTATGCAGCTTTCTTTCATCTTTCCATGGAATGCCTATGCTGTATCTGCCATTTTCATAAGCCAGTGATCTTTCAGACATTTGTAATGTTGCTTTTTTCTCTTGCTTGATTGTGTAGTTGTTTTCAAGTGTCTCAGGTGTGTCCCAGTATCGACGGATTAAATTGCTTATTTCATCACTTGGTTTTGTGAAGTTTGTTTGTGCCCTCTTTTGCGGAGAGCCAATACTGACTTTACCAATGCATGTCCATCCAAGTGGAGTTAATCTGGTTATTGGTTCTCCAGGATATCCTCTTATCTCATGTATCGAATACATGAGTTCTGCTTGGTCTGCCCCTATTAGATAAGTCCACATGATTTCTGTTTGTCCCTATTTCAGTGAACGGAATGTTTTCAAGATGCTTCCGGGAGTGTTTTTCAATACTCCAATTAACTGCCTGCATGTTTCCCGTCACCTTTTCTGTCGTGTAGGCCCATATCGTTTTCCTTGTTTTACCATCAAGAATACCGACACTGAATTCGACCAATGAACTTTCCAACATTTCCTGAACTCCGTTTAAAGCATTAACTCTCAACTGCTCCGCCTCTCCTTCAAGCCCTAGTTCTGCTGCTATGTCTGAATTTAAATAGCTTTTTCTGCTAGCTTCATCAAGAAGAGTATTTACTTTATTTGTTTTTTCCCTTTACATACTAATACTGATACCGTCCTGAGAGCGACAAATTCACTGTTATGACACGCCATCGTTGTCGTGGCTGGAGGAGTAGTACTGGAGGTTGTAAGGTCATTGCTACTTTTCCTTAAATTGTTAGCTGCCAGTCTGGAAGCTTGGTTGTATTCCGGATCATGGAAGAGGCGATAATGTTTTCTGCGGCACCTCTTGCGTGTCCGCCACTCAAACAGCAAAAACATGCCTTTGCTTCTTTTACTTTACTCCATCGTTGGTTCACGTCCAGTTCCTTAAACACTTCACAGGCATAAAGTGCATGTCTTTCTCCAAAAACAACACATTTCCTCCAACTGTACTGACCTTTGTTGTTTTCTGTATATGTTGTGAATGTCCTGATATTTTGATCTCCCCTACCAATTCCAGCGACTGCTTCACAAGCTGTTGTCAAAAACCGGGCTTCCTGGTTAATGAATTGTCTCAATGATTTGGTGTTCCGAATGTAACCATTGTCAAATACCAAACAATGATACTGGGAAAGTAGTGATTTATTCAATTTTATTTAAGTGTGATGTATAGCGAGCAGCTCTCAAGCTCGTGACTGTTGTCAGTTTCTTCCAAGTTTAGTGCTAATACATCCAGTAGCTCTGCAAACTTTTCCAAGTCCTTTTCATTACCTTCTTGTATCGGCTTAAAATTCAAACCTGAGCATTATTTGTCTTGGTTGTCCCCCATACTTGCGCTCCAATCTCTATTCGCTACTACATATGTCTTTCACCATCAGCAACTTATATTCAGCAGTAGCATTTGAATTATCCACACATGCTATAAACGCAGACTTCCATGATTCATAATTTCTC